TTTATTTAAATTAATATAATATGCATACAGTATAAGTACACAATTTTTAAAATAAGCCCAATTGTACACACATATTTACCAATAAGATCCACTTTTCATTTTATTGCTTGAAATTATTTCAAACCAAATTTCACATGAAAAAAAAAACTTATTCAATTTGCACTCATAAATTTCTATTATTCTTTTCTTATCAAATGTTTATAAAAGACTCCCTTGATACATAATGCCATGAAAGAAAATTCATTGAGAGATAGCAACAATTGTTAGGAAAAAAGGAAAATGAGAAGCAAACGAGAAAAATGGCACACCTGAGTATTTGCGAAAATGTTACCTAAGCCACAAACATATAAATTTATATATAATTCATATATATTAGATACCAATTTGCCAAAAGTTTTGCGTTGACAAGTAACACAAGGAGTAAGGATATGACAAAGTGTTATCGAGAAGCACTTGAGCAGTCAAGAAGAAGAAAAAGCAAAAAGTATTTGCCAAAATCAATTTGCTTAAAAGGTGACACAGTAGGGAGATAAAGTCAAGTGCTTAGATCATAAATTTAGATATGAAAAAAAAATTTTTTTTTTCAAAAATTTGACTATGAAAAGAGCAAACGTGTGGACATGCATAAATACATATGTACGAGCTCGAGTTTTTATGTGAACAAATTTTTTTTTAGCTGCTGCTGAATACGTAAAACGCACCTAGACAACGTGTACTAAAATTAAAAATTTATGTATATTTATGCTTTAGCATACACGTATATACAAACATAAAATATTATTTCATTTCGTCATTCATTTTTCGTACTCTCTTTCCTCGTTCGTATTCATTGTACTCGGCAGCTTGTCACTTTATGTGACCCATAAGTGGGTCACATTAAAATTTGATGAGTTGTCATTATTAAATGTTGGCGTCAGTTAAACGGCTATATTTTCTTCTTCACATTCCTGGCTTCCTGTAGCTCCCTCCTGCCCATTTTTCTTTTCCTCTTTTGTCTACGCTATTTATATATATCATCTTCTTACTTTCCTGCTTTGCTCATTTTACTGCCTTTGTGAATGCCGATATGAATCATTTTAAGTGCTTTCGGAAACTTTATGTTATGTTCTTCATATAAGAAATTGCAAATATTCGTGATTTTGATAGGCTTTTCACGGCGTCATTTCATTGCTGTTTTTCTTGAAGTGAAAAAAAATTGGAGACAAAAATGTTTAAGAAAATAATTAAGAGTTAAAATATAAATTTAAATAAAATTGAATTTAATAAAATAAAATTACAAAATTAATAAAATAACAAAATTAATAGAAATAAAAGAGAATAAATAAAATGAAATAAGAAAACTTAGCATAAAATAAAATAAAATACAATAAAAACATCAAATTAAATTATTATTTAAATTAAAATAAATAAAATAAAATAGACTAACAAAAGTAATATAAAATGAAATAATATAAAATAACTTAATAAAAGCTAAAATAAAATAAAAAAATAATATAAATTAAAATTTAATAAACTTAGATAAAAGTCAATTTAAGAAGATAAAATAACAAAATTAATTAAAAAAATAAAATGAATAGAAAAAAATGACTAAAATAATATTTTAAAATATAAATAAAATTGAATAAAAAAAACAAAATAAAATAAAAAAATTATATAAATTAAATTGAATTAAATTAAGTTAAATTAATTTAAATTAAACAAAATGTAATGAAGTGCTCTCAGAGACTTACGGTGATGCTGCTCTGAGTGAAAGAACGTGTTGGGAGTGGTTTCAACGTTTTAAAAATGGTGATTTTAATGTCGAAGACAAACAAGGTTATGATTTGTATTTGGTGGGATCAGCTCGATGTGATTTACTACGAGCTCTTAAAACCGGGTNGTTAAGACAAAAAAAAATAATTTAAATTTCAAAATCTTCGATTTCCAAACATATTCTATTTTAAAATCACTCTCACTTTTCGTTCATTTCACAATAAGTCAATCAAAAGTGGAAATTAATTAAGCATTCTACCACAAATACTACTCAAATGCCATGATGATACAGCGGAAACAAATTTAGAGCAAAGTGTCATCAACTCATTGAGTTTGGGATGTTAGCCAACAGAAAGCGTGTTCACTAAAAAAGAATATTACACTCTGGTTAGGGACCCAAGCGAATGGCGCCGACTCAAATGGCTGCCAATAGAAAAGCGTGACAAACAAGCCAATATGTATGTCTGTTTTAAGTGTAGGCCAGAAATTGCATCGAAAAAAAAAAACAAAAAACAACACAAAAAGTAAAATAACATAAATCTGCTACGAATAATGCGATGAGCATATTTGCAGGGCCCAAATTTGATTCACAAATCAAATGCCTGCTTCTCAATTTTTTCTTGTGGCATTCGCATTTCATTAAGGTTGTTGATTGAGTTGCTTTGTGAATGCGAGTGTGCATTTTGGTGATATGTTTGGAAAAGTTGGTTGTGGCGTGCAAAATACAAATAAAAAGGGAAGTTGTTGGTGGTGTTACTTGAGTCTGTTGAATTTTATAATGAGAAGCAGTCGATGAATAGCCATGTTTTGGCTGTCACACTTGAGATTTGTTTTGGCTTTTGGACATTCCCAAACAAAAATTAAGTTCGCTATTTCCGATAGCTGTATTTGAGTCCTTCAGCAGCGTTTTATTGCAACGAATAAGTTAAGAAAGTGCAGGTTATATAAGCAGAAAATATTGCTATTTTCTTTTTCTTATAAATTTCTAAATGAAAATACGCTTTTCCTACAGAAAGCTCATGAATTATATTGCGCTCATTTAGTCTAGTCGATAAACATATTTTATGTTATTTTGCATAAATTTTCACCACTTGAGAACATATTGACTAGCAATCGCTTGCTGCACGATATTTTTATGAATTCCAAACGTCTGATAATGGGGAAAGAAAGAACAACGAAATGCGCAAACAAAAGATATGTTTTTCAATAGTAATAGAAAACGTCACACAAATGCAAATCTGAAAAGAGAAAAAGAGACCTCATAGTCCAAAAAAATACCACGCCAAGCGCCTTAGAATAAACTACAAATATTTGCTATCGTCAATTTTGCATTTTATTGCAATTTATTGTCTTCGCAAAAACATTCGCATAGCAACAAATAGTGGTTGAAAATGTTGCTTTATTTTCAGACGAATTTCCGTTATTTAATACAGCGCGCATAACGGTTATAATGTGCACAAAAAAAAATAAAAATAAATAAATAAACACAAATTAAGTGCTAAATGAAACTTTTTTATCTAGAAATTTTACACTTTCCTTTACATCCTTTTTGGTTAGGAATACAGAAGTTTAGAGTTCAAAATGTAAGAAAAATATTTATTGATTGTGTAGCAATTTCGTGCAACTTCATATATACCAGACTTCAAAATACGTCGAAAAAAATCCATATTGTCAGCGATTCGTTTCACTTTATCTCGCCATCCCAAAAATGCTACCAAACAATCAACAACCTTAGCAACCCTCTAAATCTAAGTTACAAAATACGACAAGTATCACTTCCGTTCCGCTGCTACCCATTTCATGTATTTTGCAAATCATGTCAGCGTATTTTGCATAAATTTCTGCACATATCACCAGCTTTTTGTTTTTATCCTCATACGTAGACGCTGCTTTGCAAAGAATACCTACTGCCATCGCAGCAGACCCATTATTATCACAGCTGCATACCTTTAGGCGCACATGCAGTTGAAGTGTAGAAATTTTCAAAATTGATTTTCCGTTTCTTTTCCCCCCATATTTTGTTGCTTCTTTCGGAAAATACTCTTATCGGTGGTGAAACACTATAACCTGATGCGGAATTTACCACATCAACGAATTTTATTAACCAAAAGAAATGTATACCCACCTCCATTTGCCTACTTTTAGGCTTAAAATTTTCAGCTGTCAAAAGCCGTTGACAAGGGTGTAACCAAGCGCATGTATGGCTAGTGGCGACTAGTGTAGTAGTGTCAATGGCATGCAGAGACATAATACTAACCTGTTGTATGCTGGTCGTGCGTAATTTTGGGTGCGACCCTCAGAAGTTGAACTGCCGTGTGTACAGCAGCACTTCTTCTTTTTCCGAGAAACAGCCAACGTTTCAGATAACTATTTTCTTTCATGCTGCTTTACACTTTCGTTTTCAATTATGCCGCACAGTAGTCTGCCGATAAGCTTTTTAAGTGGGCGTGTGGCTTTCAAAACGCCTACAAATATGCAGTAATAAAGGAAAAAGGAAACTAATTCATGTAAATAGCGCAACAGGCACAGTAAGTGGCCGCGTAACCGCTATGCGTAAGGTGAAAGTGTTCACGTTCAAATTTAATACATAGCAAAGGGGTTAGGTGTACGTGCAACCCTGTTGGTAAGAGTCGATAAAGTTCTCCGCCCAGGACACAACATCTTCGTATAAAAAATTAATTTTTATTTTCGAGCACTTAACGGAAATTTCTTGTTATGCCACACTCAATGTAAATTTATTGCATTTACATACTTTTAGGAGTGTTGGCAGTATTTTATGAGCTTTACCCTCTTATTACAATCATATTTTGTTCTCCAACTGTAATGGAGCTATAATCGCTCTCATGCTCTGGCTGTGTTGCTCATTTGAAGCGATAACGGTTAATGGTAATTTTTGTCCATTTATTTTTATTATAATTGCGTACTTTTAGGCTTTGCAAAACAATTAGTTCTGCAAATGTGTAAAATGATTTTAAATGCAAATTAGAAGCTGTATTGAACAAATAGTCAAAATTGTTGGAGTGGACACTTTTGCATACATGCCTACGTATATATTTTGGTGCAAACTGGCTAGTTTATGCTTAAGGGATCGTATGAAATAAAAATGCCTTCGTTTTCCATTTTAAGTGCAGAATACAATAATAATGCTTTCAGAGCTAAGTAGCATAATCATAACTTTTAAAAAACTTCTATTTTGTGTAAATGTCTCAAACATTATAATTTTAAAATCGTTGCTTTTAGTTATATCTCCAGAAACCATAAATAATGAAAATAAAAATTTAGAACGAAAATATCCACTCTCGATTGAGGAGTTTTGTGATTAAAAAATACGTTATAAAAACGCTTTCGAAATTTTAAAGTAAAGATGAAAGTTAGAATTGAGAATAACATTATGTTTGCACAATAAGTTTCATTATTATTATTCAAAAATAGTGGCTATAAAAGCATACAATGTTGGGCCGTTGTGTTAGTATACAAGGCTCCAGCGACGACATGGCAGCGGTCTTGGGTACTGATTTTATAAAGGTTTGTAATGAAAATCATCGTTTATTTTAAGTTTATAAATATTTAAGATTAATTTGAATTATTTTACTGTGATAATTGCGGCATAAAAAATATTATTTTAAAAATGGTATTTCATACATTTCTTTAAATTTTTTTAAGTTGAATTAAAAGTAATTTTTTTATGTTATTTATTTTTTCTGTTTTTATTATATTTCGTTTTGTTCCCTTTTATTTAATTTAATTCTTTTTATGTAATTTAACATTATTTTATTGTATATTATTTTGGTTTGTTTTATTTGATTTAATTTCATTTCATTTTGTTACATATTATTTGATATAAGTTAATTTAATTTCACTTTATTTTATTTTATTTGATTTTAGTTTATATTGTTTAATTTGTTTTATTTTAGCTTACTTTATTTTTTTATTTTATTAACTTTATTTTATTTTGTTTCATTTTATTTAATTTAATTTAATTTTATTTCACTTTATGTTATTTTATTGAATTTTGGTTTATATCATTTAATTTTATTTTAGTTTGTTTTATTTTATCTTTTTTTTCATTTCACTTAATTTAATTTTATTTTTTTCCTTTTTTTTCTATTTAATTTAATATAATTTCATGTAATTTCTTGTTAATTGTTTTATTTAATTTACTTCGTTTTATTTTTTCTTTAATTAATTTTATTTATTTTGATTTTATTTTATTTTATTGATTTTGTTTTATTTCAATTTACTCCATTTTTTATTATTTTATTTATTTTAATTTAATTTTTTTTAATTTTTTTTGTTTTTGATTTAAAATACTTTTTTATTTTTATTAGTTTAAGCTATATTATTTTAATTTTTTTTTATTTATTTATATTTTATTTGAATTGATTTGGTTTTTTATTTTATTTGTTTAATTTTGTTTTATATTATTTTGTTTATTTCATTTTATTTTATTTTAGCGTATTTGGTTATATTTTATTTCATTTTTTTCGTTTTGGTTACATCAAAGAATGAGATTATTTAATTTAGCCCAACCTTCCCTTAAATTTTACATTCCGTTCCTAGTCTGATATTATTTAGATATCATTTCGAATTCCTTGTATTTTTCCACTTCGTTTTTCTCAACAAACAAAAATTGCTATGCATACCTTTTTTAAATTTTCCATAAATTTTTCCACACATTTGTTACCATTGGCAACTGAATCGAGAGTCCTCCACTATACAAATGCAAACTGCAACTACCGTGTTATGCTATGCTACACAATATAAGCATAATAAAAGCCTACAATGTACAAAGGAATCTGCAGGAAACACACACAAAAAAATTTTATTTATTCTTCTTTCTTGTAACTTAACAAAGCTACGTCCTTTCCGCTGCATTTTCTGTTGCATATTTTCTGTAGGATTTAAATTGAAAGGCCTGTCACTTCACATGCCTTTTATCCTTTTGAAAGTCAAGTTTATCAGACCTGCCTACAAAATAGGCAGGCAGCTCATAGTTGTATTGTCAGTGAAAAATTCTTAGACATTTGTAGCAGTCTCTGCTTGCCTGTATGAATATACACACTTAAATGCAGTTTTATTCACCAGCCCATCTCTTCTAGTATGCTTATATAACAACACTAATGTTACTTAGTTACCTCGGTGCTCTTATTTTGCTCTCCATGCGGCCTTTATAGATATGATGCGTATCGGTAACTGTTACTGAAGGCGACAGTAGAGCTCAGAGGCAGTGGAATCATCATCATCGCACATTTACTAGTTTATTGTAGTCAACTGCAGGGCATTTGGTATCCACTTTTATCCAGTTACTTAGTTCTGTTATCTTGTGGCATGAAAAGGTTTTGTGATTCTCGTTGTAAATAGTTAAAGAAGTGAGGTGTACAGTGCCTTTAACTTTAAATGAAATTTTATCTACCCATTCCTAATTCATAGGTTTTGTTTTTTTTTTTAAGAAAGATAATGATGGTTGAAAACTAGAGTAAGGCCCATTTGCTACCTGCATGACTGAATTCTTCAAACTTATAATTTCGGACGACCTGAATTATGAGTGAAAAAATAAAACACTGTCATCTGGCGTGTAATCGTTGTAAGATACTAACTCAAGCCTAGCCTGTCTTTCTTGTTATTGAATTGAATTTATAGCGATTTTTCTACGATTATTGTCTAAATAATTCTATTTACTTGGAGCGTTAAGATTAATTTACCCTTGAATATCAGAAAATATTTTAACATAACTTTTTCAAAGAGTCTAAATGTGATCACAGCAATCTGTTATATAGTCCCTTAAATTAATGAATCTTGGTTGAATTATGGTATACTGTCTGATGCGATATTTACATATATTAATTACATCAATTGTCTTATNTAGTGTACAGTGCCTTTAACTTTAAATGAAATTTTATCTACCCATTCCTAATTCATATATTTTCTTTTTTTTAAGAAAGATATTGAGGAATACTGTGATAAAAATTGCTTTTGAATTTAAATCAGGAATGAGGTCTGTACGATATTTCTAGATTCCTTTTTAAGCAATATTTGTTTGATATTGAACAAATTTTCTATAACTTCTCTTAACTTCGGACGATCTGAATTATAAGCGAAAAAAATAAAACAAAAAATTAAATTATTAAATTTTCTAAAATCAATATTGAAGCCATGACCCTTTGCCAGCTCATCAGAGTCTTTTATTAACAAATATCCTTACATACGCTAGCAGGCATAAGTATTTATAAATATAGTATTTGAAAAACCATTCACTTGTAGCCTAAATCATCGAATAAATGAAACCAAATGGCTATGAACTTCATTAATGTAGGAAGGCATTACAGTTCTATGACGTCTAATTAAGCGGGATTAAAAACATTTACGTACACAGCAAAGGAGATGTCATATATATGAGAGATAAGTAGCCCAAAATATAAGCTTTCGCAAAAGTCGCATTAAAATTGTGTGTGCCCGATTAATGTGTCAACACGTAATATATATATCGATTTGAGCTAGAGTTAGAAACAAGTTAAAAAGCCTTAAGAAATTATATATTCGCTCTAAGAAATATGGTTCCAATATTCTTTTTGCATGTTCTCTAGGAGGACTTCAGATACTGGATTTTATACCGTAAATCTTTTTGCATGATTTGGAAATTTCGAAAACTGAAGATTTCGGTAGTTTATCAGTCACAAAATTATTTACTTAAGAAATTCAGTCAATTTATTTAAATACCCTTAAAATGCAATTATAATCTTTCACTGTCATCTGGTGTGTTATCGTTGTAAGATACTAACTCAAGCCAAGCCTGTCGTTCTTGTTATTGAATTGAATTTATAGCGATTTTTCTACGATTATTGTCTAGACAATTCTATTTACTTGGAGCGTTAATATATATTAATTTACCCTTGAATATCGGAAAGTATTTTAACACAACTTTTTCAAAGTGTTTAAATGTGATTATAGCAATTTGTTATATAGTCCCTTAAATTAATGAATCTTAGTTGGATCTTGATATACTGTCTGATGCGAGATTTACATATATTAATTACATCAATTGTCTTATTCTTAAAAAATATGCTAACCTTGCTTCTTATAGCGATATGGTGCTGTTTTCAAAGGCCATTACAAAAATAAAATACTCGATTGTTCCTTAGTTCGTTTAAAGTTGGAGTATGCCCCTATATTAAGATTCCTCCATACTTGAAACATTGCTTTAGACATGAAACCATCCAAAGTAGGTTTATTCGTTTTGCTCTCGCTCCACTTAATTTTTTTTGATCCCCTACCTTTTAGTACCTCCGATGTATGCTTATAAATCTGAAGTCACTTGCGTTCTATACAGTTATTACCATTTATTTATGACATCATCAATGGCTTAATGTACTGATCACAGAATTTCCTGCTCTAATTATCCGTTTTATTTAGATTTATTAAAAGTGAATTATATGAATTATAACAACTGCGATCCTTTTATGAGAGTACTCTCTAAGCTTTAATTTTTAATTCACATTCCCGATATCTTGGTTTGGGTATACTCTAAATACCTTCTATTAATAAATCGAGATTTTTTAGCTAGTGCCTTTTTGGCAACACTGGTTTTAACAGCTGACGCACGTTCTGTGATTTGTATTGTATCACAGTCAAACATCTTCAGTTTGGTCTATAATGTAACCATGAATCGTCTTACAAACGAACAACGCTTTCAAATTGTTGAATTCGATTATCAAAATGAGTGCTCTGTTAAGAAAGTTAAAAGAAAATGTGCTCATTTTTCATTTCATTTTTGGCTTAATGGGTGCATAGTGTATATCAGTAGAATTGTCGATTTTGGAGCGAAGATCAGCCAGAAGTATTGCAAGAGCTACTAATGCATCCAGAAAAAGTCAGAGTTTGATGTGGTTTGTGCGCTAGTGGCATCGTTGGACTGCACATCTTCAAAGATGGTGCGAATCGCAATTTAGCTGTTAATTGTGAGCGCTACTGTGTGGTGATATCAAACTTTTTTTTACCCAAAATGCAAGAGCCTGACTTGCATGGCATGTGGTTTCAACAAGACGGTGCCACATGCCACACAGCACGCTTGAAAACGGACTTATTGAGAGGCGAGTTCGGCGAACTCTTTATTTCCCGTTCGGGACCGGTCAATTGGCAGTCTAGAGCGAACAATTTAACACCTTAAGACTATTTTTTGTGGGGCTATGTTAACCCTAATGCCTATACAGACTAGATCGCTTCAATTGACGCATTGAAGGACAACGTTGAAGCATTTATTTGTGAGATACCGGCCAAAATGCTGGAAAGAGAATGTCAAAATTGGACTAAGCGGATGGACCATTTGAGGCGCAGTCACGGTGCACATTTGTATGAAATAATCTTCAAATATTAAATTATATGGACTGTACCTTCGATTCAAATAAAGATTTCATGTATTTCTCTGAATTTAACGTGCTTTTTTTTTGGAAAAACTTTCCTATAGCTCTTAAAAATCACCCTTTATAAAGACTGTCTATTAATAGTATATAAAGATGCAGTAATCTTCAAAAAGAGGTGTTATTTTGATATTCAAAAAAGGAAGTAATTTTTTAAGATAAAAGATCAAATATTTATAACAATATAAAGATGCAAGTATTACATTAATAATGAAAAATAATATCAGCCATGTCTAAGCTTTAGGGTGTAGGAGGGAGAGGATGTATAGGGCTAGTAAATATGTTGATATATGACAGCCATTAATGTAAACTTATAGTTGTTTGGCTTTTAAAGGGATGAACTCCATATCAAAATATTAGAGGAGGGGATAATTTTTTGATGAAAATCTCCATCATTTTCTAGTACATCAAGAATCGTATAAAGAAAGACTCGAAGTTTTTGATAATCGGTCGGGCATATCTCTTGTGTTAACTGAACTCTATATTACTAAGAGCGAAGAAGAATGCAAATGCCTGAGTTTTCTTTGACATTTTTAAATACAGCAGCAATATTCTCTGTTGTTCTTGAGCGACGTACATCGTCACATAACTAAGTTGTCCAAACGATTCCATTTTTCCACCAATTTCTGTTTGGCGGATCGACAAGCTGCTTCGCGACGGCCAAAAAGATGTTTTAGTTTTACGAACTGTCTCTGCTAAGATTTCGCCATTTTTATAGTGAATTTTAATCTTTTTATTGCAGGTTAAAATCATGTATCGTTGCATTTTTGTTACTTTTTGTAGAAGGCTAATCAAAATAACACCTGCAATAGCAAAACCCTTGATTGACCCAGTATAAAGTTATTGTTTTGTACACCAGTTTATTTCTTGAAAATATTAACGCCGACTGGTATACTATACCTATCAACTGCTACACTGAATTAAATTTATATTTTGTTTCGCTCAGTTATGTGAGCTGTTCTTGGTATTGTGGTAGGCAGTCCTATCAACATCAACTGCAAGCATTCTAATACAGCAGGTGGGCAAAGGCTTGCCAACTTGCATATTTTATAGAAACTGAGGGCTTTGCATTAATTAATTTTTTCTACTCATTTCCAACACACAATGGAAGAAATACACAGAAAAAAAAATGCAACACAATCGGAATAAATAATTTGCATTCTGTCCAGCTGCAAATTGTTCTTGCGGCCACAATGTTCAATGGAGGTGAAGAAAGTTTTTTTTAATATGTACTGCCATAATTTGAAGATTTTGCTTCTAAAATACTTACTAAAATATATTTCAAATGATTTTGGGTCAAAAAATATCATATTTGAACCAAAAACAAATTCTTTTGCAAAAGTATGCTTCAATTGCTCTGGTTGTTATTTCGCAACACGTCTCTTATGTTCAATTACAAATATACTATTTCACACAGCTGTGCAATTTTAGTATCAACCTATATGCTTTTCATACCAAAAATCATCAACAACAACTAACATTTACTTTACTATAGTTGCTATCAAAAAAGAAATTGCTTTTTTTCCAAAAATTTCTTGTTATCTTCATTTCTCTAAATGCAAAAAGTTTTGTGTTTGAAAGAAAAATATATGCATACACGTGCATATATATATAAATATATATTTACAAAAACAATGTCGATAGCATTTTTTTGTTTATGCTTATGGGTGTTGTGGTTGTAATTGCATTTGTTAGTGTTGTATCATTCCTTTGTCGCCTGTTAGCCATAATTGCTTGGCAAATCTTTCCAGGACGTTGGTGTACGGAAATTACAAAAGTCCTTTGCCAATAATTATGATAACATCAGCAGAACGATATTTGTATGTATGTATGTATATAGTTGTCGTTGCCACTTTGTCGTTGTCAGTTTTGCATAAGATTTGTGCTTGTTGGCTTGGCCACCAGAGCGTATACGTAACTAATATTCTGCCACTCAACACATTGCTCCAATACATACACACAAATGTATATTACATTTGGTTATGCATGAGCTAAATGGCATATTTCCGCCTACAAGATACGATATGATGTGGTGACGTGTTGTTGGGAACAATGTGTTATATGTATGAATGCATAATATATATATTATTTGAAGGCATTAATTCCCTTGCGGTGAAAAATGAAACTAGTTGGCAAAAACTCTAGTATTTATAGTATTATTTTAAAAATTAATTCAAACCAGCTAACTCTTTGTTCTCAAATCACCACTAAGGAGAAGATCAATGAGTTTCGCTATGAGCAAATTATGTTTTGGTGGCATAGAAGTTAACATACGTAAGCCAACTAGTATTTGACTAGTATAAAGTTGATAGTATAGTAGTAAACAACCGACAATGCGTAGCACATTATATATATAATAGGCGCTTTGTAACCACTGAAGCGATTTTCGGTCGAGCTCCTCCTCAAAATTGTAGTTGCTGTTTTCCAAGAAATGGAGTAACCAACAGTTTATATTAAGCCGCCACCGAATGGCTTTTATTTCATGTGACAAATACACTCAGAGGATTAACATTCCTTGCCGAGATGCGACCGCAATTAGAAATTCAATTTTCTGAATTTTTTCTCAAAATTTACTATAGAAGAAGAACTGCAGAAGTGGCAAGTAAGAGATGAAAATAGTAAAAATAAATGGTTAAATAAGAAAAGACAAATTCAAGAGAAGGTATGGAGCTCTATGTAAATCCAACAACGAGGACCAAACCTACTGGATGAGACTCTCATTATATCATTTTTAAACATTTTAATAGATATTTTCTGCCCCTTAATGTAGAGCGATTTCAAAAATATTGTCAGAAAACCATATCAAGGCATATGTCCACGTACTCCTGGTTTCCAATTTTAGCAACTGTATACGAAGTATTAATTCACAGTTTTCAAATAATTGAAGCATCTGTATTGCCAGTAAGCATCAGAGTGAATTATTCCAGATTTTACTAAAGTGACAGGCGGTCACATGCTCAAAAGGGTAGAAGGATAAATAGTATGGCCGATATTTTTCAAAGAGTATTGGATTCAATAGAAGTGTTTTCATCTTATATGGGCGGTAAGAGAAGGCGTGAGCATCAAACAATGTAGAGTCTTGTCCATAGTGTATGGTTTCTGAAATGTCATGTTATTTTAACTCAGGCATGCCTTTTTTGGAACATTTATTCAAGAAATATTATATATTTAATTTTACTATTTATATTTTGCGATATGCTACCCATTTTCTCCATTAAGCTCACTTCAATTATTAACCTTTAATAACAACAATATATTTCTTTGGTCTACTCTACAGATATACACCGATTGGGCCAACTATTATCTCGAACGTGCCAAATCTAAAAAGAGAGTTACAGATTTATCTATTGATTGTCGTGATGGTGTACTACTTGCGGAAGTTATTGATGCGGTGACGTCATTTAAGGTGCCCGATTTGGTGAAGAAGCCAAAAAATCAGCAACAAATGGTGAGTGGAAGAAAAAGATACATATATATGTATACAGCTATATATATATATATAGCTGCTTGGTTGAAAAGCGGAGGTTGAGGCCGAGAGTGGCTGCAATTAATGCAACAGATTAGGCTCGTAATGCTTTATAATAATTTTTGAAAACATCATGAATTTTAGTATTATCAAAATGCTCCACAAACCCAAAAAATTATATACAAATATATATATATACTTTTTTTTTCAAATACAATATTTTTTTTTTAAGTGACCGCAATACTAATATTTGTATCTCAAAAAATATTTAAAAATACTTAATAATTTCCACATTTACATATTGGTTGGTAGTTAAAGTGGGTACCAAACGAACCCATTGTGATACCACTGGGGATACTAATTACCCGCTTATCAAACCAATATGTTGAATTTGCAAAACTGAGCAGTTGTAGTATCTTAGCCTCCATTATTTCGTTCAACTCCCCCAAAGGTTGCTACGTCTAGAAAGTTCAACCTACTCTTCTCAAAGAAAGTGCTTTAAGGTTTCAGGTTCCTCTTCTCAGAAGTCATTACATGGTACGCCCAACGGCCTGCCTGTCCAATAGATCTATAACTGTATCTATTTCCTTCCGTTTTTGATCAATGAGATTTTTACATCTGGAGTTAGCGTCTTTTAATAATGCCCAAATTCTTCCATGAAGGGTAAAGTGGAAGGGAAGTGTGTTTCCTTGCAAGCTCGTCCGCCACTTTATTTGACGGTATATTACTGGGTAGAGGCATCCAAACAAAGTTAATAAAAAAAAAACCTAAAAAAGTCGGCGATGAGCTTATCACTAGGTGGGTTTGATGTTCTTATCCGATTATGTTAAAATGTGTTTGAAAGTTGACATTTCAATATTTTTCGTGAAGACACAACTCGAATTTACAGAAGGGTAAGGCACAGAATTAAATTTTTTTTGCTATAAAATGTGCGTATAAGTTTCTGTGGTTTACGATGAGAATGTTGTATGCGAAAGCCAAACCTGAAAAAGTTTTCCTCGAATACGTTCATGAAATTTTGATGTTAAAAATGCACTTCGTTCTGGTCGCCCAGTTTCTGAAAAAGACTTAGGAACTGTGCAACTAGTGGAGAAAGAACGGCATGCAAGTAGTCAGGAGGTATGAGTGACATTAGGCTTCATTCAATTGATAGTTTGAAAGCATTTAAAAGAGGGTAGCTATTAAAAAAGCTCCATGTTTGCATGTCACATGACAATGACATAATAATTACAGAACGTCCAACATCATAACGGCAGGATTAAAAATTACTCAAACGAGAACGCTTAAAATTTTAAAATAAAAAAATTTAAAAATTGAAATAAGCCAAAAATACAAAAAATAAAATTTTATTCGAAAGTTCAGAAAATAATGTTTTAGCACATAGCATTTGATAATGTTTTGTATGCTATAGGAAGTTCGAAAGAGATTTTTGAATTCGACTACATTTTGACCACATTATTATTCAGTTTACGATATTCAATTTATCCAAAAAGAGACAAGATTTTTTATGCAAAAAGAGTAAATAATTATTTTTAGTTTAATCACTTAATTTATTACGTACTGCAACGTATCCTACTAGAATTGCACCACAAGCTGCGGAGGTGCGTCCTTCTAGCAATACGCTGCTACTTGTCGAAAAGTACTCATATTTGTGCGCTCACGGAAGGACAAGTGCTTGGACATACTATCTATTCTATTCTATTTCTGAAGCGATTTATTACCGCTGATGAAAAATAGTTTGAGTCACAGAATATAAAATTAAAATAGATCATTGACAAAATCCGGTGATCTTCCACAAATGACTTTAAGGTCTAAACTTATACCTCCTTATGACTAATTTACCGCACTTTGTTTGGAAAGTTTTGATGCACCCACTATCTAGTCTGTGCCATGCACTAACTGTGTACCATTTGGAATTTTTCCACATTAGCCGACTGAAAACCAACTCAAAGTCATTTGACCAAGTTTTTCGTCCATAAACTAAGGAAATTCAACACCAAAGCAACTATAAGGCTAACTGGTAAACGGCAAAAAGCTGTAAATAATAACGGTTAATATGTTTTTGACTAAAATAATTTTCAATAATTAAAAAGATTTGTTTAAAGAAAAAACTGTGAAGACTTTAGTTGTACAACATTTTTCAAAGGAATTTAACTAATACTTTTTGCTGAAAATATGTTTTTTAGTAAAATTGTATCTTTCTCTGCTGCTTTTTAATTATTTTCAAATTTATACAGAATAAATATTGAAAAATTTTATCAATTTTCTATCTTATAATTTTATATAATTCCGAAAAATCACACAAAAATTTTCAGTCTATGTAAATGCCTAACACTCTTTAACGCTTTAAGCTCAAACAGTCTGAAACTTTTTATCAAATGATGGTAAACGCAAAAAGCGCAGGTAAACGTATATAGAAGTGCACTTTTCCCTCAAGAGTCCTTGTCACACCTACAATAGCAACAACAAATACATTACAAATTCATTTGTCTGACTCATCTACACTAACCACGGATATGATTACTCATGTGTTTGTATGTATGCATACGAGTGATATGCTCCGTGCTCAAAATAGTACGACCAACAACTGCCGGCGCGTAATAGAAAACTCGTTAATTGTTTTTCGCACATACAAAAGTCGCGGCACAAAACGTGAAAATATTTCATTTTCCGCATGTTTTTTTTTCAATTTATTTTTTATTTTGTTGCTCAACCATCGTTAGATAGCATTTTGTTGCTGAAACACCTTAGTTTGCGGTGGAGGAAAAACACAAAACTGTTGGAGTTAAGGTTATACCCAGTAAATGTTTTTGTTCAATGAAAGTTTTAATAAAGAATATAAAAGAAGAAAAATTTTGCTTCTCGAAAATTAATTTTTCAACGTTTTTTAATAATATTTCTTAATGGAAAAAAGTTATATTGATAAATATTATTGATAAATATTCCAGAAAGTCCAAGCGTAGAGGCTATAAATTTCACCAAGTTTCAGTGATTTTGACTTCATTTTTAAAAACTTACGAACTTTACTACTCTCGAGCTTACGCGTATATATGTAAATATCCTTTCATTTACCTTTAATTCCATTCACAACTGTCCATGTGTGCTCAGCCCATACATATATATATGTGAACTTGTCTTCCCTGCCTCTAGCATGAGTTGATGTGACGCACTGCGACGTGTTGAAAAGCCACGACAACCGTGAGGATGACTGGTGATGCCACACGTCCTTCACCGTTAGCGGTTTGAAAAGCATATGAACGCTTTGTGCTTTGTTTGTGCAGCATGACAGAGTTACAGGAAATCCCATTAATGACAAACTGTTTGCTGGCGAATGTAGGTAGAAACTTATAACAACAACAATGTAAAACAAAAAAATTTAAGCGTAAGCTTAAATAAACGAATGAGAATACAAACGTGCGCCATATAAGATCGCTTTAAAATTTTACTCTTTAATTTAATTAAATTAAATGATTTGAAGTATACAGTGAGGAATGGAGATTTTTATGTATTATATGGCTTCACACAATGTGTTGTCATGACCATCCTATTCTATATACGTTTGAGAGAAATATGTCATATTACAAGATGTCACATTCAAAATGAAATGAAATTATGGATGCCCGGTTTTTGTCATGGGATGTTTTATGGTATGATATGATATGATGTGATTTAATGTTAAGTGATATGAGGCGATGTCTTGTAGTATGAGTGGTGTGTTGTTTTGTGAAGCGACGTGATACGATGTGATGTTTTTCAAGCGATGAGATGTGATATTACATAATGTGATGTGATGGGGTATCAAGTGATGTGATGTCGTGTGATGGTGAGTCATATGATCTTAACGTAATTGAATATAATGTAAAATCCAAAATATTTTCTCATCAAAAATGTATTTAATTTGGTGTGTATTGACACAAATAAATGAATACCTCAAACTTTTGTAAAAAAAAAACATCACGCAACATCTAGGTCACTAGAATAAAATAAATCATGAGTCAACACGCTAATATCAAATTATATTATGCATGTGAATTTAATAAATGCGTGTGCATCTCTTTAAGATTTAATTTGTAAATGGTGAATATAATGAACAAAAACAAATAATTATTTAACAATCACATGATGTGATTATGATATATAAATTGATATGATGTGAAATCATGTAGTCCGATTAAGAGTGGCTATCTTGAAAAAATTATTTTTTTATTAAGATTAATCCAAAAATATATAATATTAACCCTCATTCATCACATATAATACTGTAGATTTATATAATTAAGTGACTACACTCGATTTTTTATGAAACCTATTGGTTTCTGTCACCTTAAAGCCTAGCTGAGCACTACATCACTACTTTAAAAAAAATTCTCACACTCATAACATAACAACCAACACACAGCACTCCAGGTGGAAAAAATATGTCGCCCATTTGCCTATTGAAGTTCAAAGACACGTAAAATGAATCAAAATCCTCTTACAACTTTTCTAACTTTGCTTAGTTACCAATTCGGTGTAGCCAGTGAGAAATAGAAATATAAATAAAATAAAGTACAGAAAAAAAGCACACGCACACTATTCGCAACTCAACGTGCACTGGGCATGCAGTCCAAACTTTGCTTAAATCAACATTTAAATAAAGGAATATGGAAAGAAGTGGTAGCATATAACAGCCCCGTAGTAACAGCAATAACAAGTGGTGATGGAAAATAAAAAATATTTGCTGGAAAAGTCAAAAAAAAAAAATGTTGCACACGCAAAGCAGACTTGACTTTGAGCGCTTTTACATTTCGCTGATTTTGCACTGTGCCATAGGAGCTTATGCTAACCTGGCTTTCTATGGTAGGCAAAGGAGGGAAGGCATACTTTTTCGCGCTTCACTTCAATCGACTCAACTTAAACTTCGTTTTGCTTTGTCGCTCTACTTACTTGGCGTGCATTTGTTAAAACCACTCATTAGAAAAAGTGTTGGCGGCAAAAATATT